GGACGAGGCTTAAATTTTTGACTTTTTTTTAACTCATTTCATCTTTTATTTTTATTTTTGTATGTTTTTCTTTAAAAATTAAATAATTAAATTTTAACCTACCTTTTAAAATAGGTCTTTGTTCAGTTGGTGAGGATGACAGGGACACCCTTACTTTTTTAAATATCTTTTTCCAAATATCTTCGTCTGGAAGCAACTAAAGAACAAAGAGAGGTAGGGACTCAATTGAAAAATGTGTTGATTAATGGATGGAATTTTTTTAAAGTCTTGTTTGACAATCTTCTGTTTTAGTTAAAAAATTAAAAAATTATTATAAATTATCACATCATTCTATCTATTTTTTTTACGTATATTTTCGTAAAAATTTAAAAAATTATTAAATAATTTGTTCCCAAACTAGACCTAAATATGTGATCTATAAATTTTTTTTGGGTGAATGATCTATAAATTTAAACCTTTTAAATTCTATTTGTTGTGGTCCCATTCTCACTCTGGCTTCCTGTTTAGGTGTCAAGAAAATGAAAGAAAAGTCCTTCAACAGGTAAATGGGATTTTATGTGGAAGTGTGATGTAATCTTTCTAAATGTATGATCTATAAATTTAATTAAATTATATTGTTTGTGTTCAAATAGTCACTCTGACTTCCTCTCTGGGTGTCAAAGAAAATGAAAGAAAAGTCTTCCAACACGGAAATGGGATTTTTAATCGTTAGTTTATTAAGTCCTGATTTGGTTATTATTTTGGGATTAAAAAAATATAAAATGATAAAATAAGTTAAATAAATTAATAAGATAAAATATAATATTTAATTCATAATTATTACACTTTTTTTCTCATAAAAGTCAAAAAAATTAAAAAATTCAAACCAAACGAGATTAAAAAAATCTCAACACAAAAAAGTTAATTATATTAATTAATGCGGACGAAGCTTAAATTTTTGACTTTTTTTAAGTCATTTCATCTTTTATTTTTATTTTTGTATGTTTTTCTTTAAAAATTAAATAATTAAATTTTAACCTACCTTTTAAAATAGGTCTTTGTTCAGTTGGTGAGGATGACAGGGACACCCTTACTTTTTTAAATATCTTTTTCCAAATATCTTCGTCTGGAAGCAACTAAAGAACAAAGAGAGGTAGGGACTCAATTGAAAAATGTGTTGATTAATGGATGGATAGGAGAACAAAAAGGACAGAAAATCTCAGGCGTAGGGACCACTTAGAAGATGAATGGATAAGAGAACAAAGATGGGTGTTAGAGCATCTCCAATGCACTAGGTATATAATACTTGTTAGTTAAAATGTCTAGTGTGATTCACTTTTTTCAATTCCAATGCACTAGGCATATGATTAGGCATTTTGGCTCAACTCATATTCACTAGCTACATGTAGCTAGCCTTCAACGCTAGACAAAATGTATTCAATCATTAGGATCATTTCCCTCCATCTTTGTTGTTGACGTGGCATTCTATAAAATTAATAGTATTTGGATAAATAGCTAAAATAAAGAGCATGGTTGGAATAAAAACATAAAACAGTTGATAGGCAAAATAAAATATATACTTTATAGTAATATTTGGATAGGTAAAATGCCTACTACTGTTGGAGATGCTCTTATTGGGGTTCTTGAATTACATAATATTTTAAAATATTATAATTAGTAGAGAATGTAAAATTTATAATTTTACATTAGATGGTTAAGAAATATAAAAAATATAGTGTGGTATTTTGAGAAATTGATAGAAAGCTAGTTTTTTTTGACTTTTTGACTTTTTTTTATCTTTATTTAGCAAAAAAGTTGACTTCTTTGACTAAAATAGTTGACTTTTCTGGCTAAGAAAATTAGAAGCTAAAAAACTGACTTTTTTAATCTCTTCTCAGAGTGCCCCAGTATATAATGATTAATTTTGAAATATAAATATATAATGCTTTAGGAATATTGAATAATTTTTCCGAAAGATGATAAAAAATGCTAAGAGTAGGGATCCACTTGCAAAATTGTGTTCATGAATCCGTAAGAGAATGCAGTCCACAAGTTTCAGCCGGTACACCACCGGCTATTACCAGTCAACTGTCAAGCCGTGTGTTGATAAACGTAGCCATCCTTGTCATCAAGAGAAAAATTATGTGGTGATGTTGAGGCATACGGTGTTTCAATTTTATATTTATTGATTAAAATTGTAAACTTTAATATTTTTTATTAAAATTTTGAGAAATAATTTGTCAAGTATTCTTTTGTCTGATATTGTTAATCTTTTTTACTATTTTAGGATGTTCTAAAATATTAGTCCTATTTGAAAAGTCTTTTAGTAAAATGTTAACTTTTAGTAAAAAATATTTAATTTTTCAAAGTTACTATTTAAATAACTAAAAATATATTAAAAATTAAAAAGTGACACGAATTATTGAAATAAGAACTCTAAATTTGAAGGGTAAATAACAGGGCAGTTGAGCATTTAAAAAACAATTACAACTTAATGAAAAAGTTTATTCATTTTACTAATTAAAATACAATACTTCTTTTTTTTATGATTTTGTAATTTTTTTGCTGTCCCATTCTGCAGCTATTTTTTTAAATTTAAATTTAAATGTAATGATTACATATCTCCTAAAGAAGTTAGAATTTTCAAAATTGACTATCAAAATGGGATGGAGGGAGTAATAAATAGTCTAGAGTAATATTTTAATATCATTAAATAATAAGAAAATTACATTTAAGTAGAGCAATGGTAAAAAATATTACATTTTATAATGGTGCAATTCTCCCATCGACATAGTGTAAATTTATTTTTATGTTTGGTGCAACTCTTCTTATATGTCAAAATTGTACTAAAAAAATTCTCATTTATACACTTAGGCCTATTTTGAGATGATAGTTAAAAAAGTAATTTTTTAATTTTTTAATTTTTTTAAAAAAAATATTTGAAAAATATGAGAGATAATTTAATTCAAAATAAATAAAAAATTGACATTTAACTTTTTTTTTAACTTTTTCCAAAAGAGCCCTTATTTATAATTTCTCCTTAAATAGTGTCAAAAGTTCTTAAAAAAGGAACTATCTTATGTTTCCACAAATGACTATAATTTGTTAGCTTCTTTGTCCGTACTTCTTTTGCAAATTCCTAGGATCATTCACAGTGCTGAATTGGTGGTCGCCCATTTTCGTATAGGATCTGGAGATCCTGTTGTGCCTAAAGGCACAGCAGCCTACTGTGTTCTCTTGTGAAGTATCATCTCGAATCTCTTTTGATAATCTGAACCGTTCATATTATAAGGTAAGTTGAATAGATTATCCATGTAAAAAATTAAGTTGATTGGATGTCTACAGCCCTATAACCAAAGCACATTTGTTTTTATAAAACTTAACGGTTAACATAACTTTTATAAATATTTAAAAACAATTAAGACCTAATCATGAGATTATAAATATCTGATTTATTTAGTTTTTTACATTAATAACATTCTTGACAAACTCTACAATATGAACAGTTTAGATTCTTGACAAACTCTACAATATGAACAGTTTAGATTATCGAAAAACATTTGAAATGAACTCCCATAAAAGGGCACAATAGGCTATTATGCCTTGAAGGCACAACAACACCCCAAGTCCCGTCGTATAATACTCCATTGCTTGGCCTTTTTTATTTTTTGAAAAATTATAAATGCACCTTAAATTTATTTAAAATATAAATTATTTTTTATGATTTTAAAAATTATATTTCATCTCTCAAAATTTTAAATTTCATAATAAATAGTTCATTTTATTAATAAATTAAAAAGTTAATTAATAATTTTTAATGATATCATAAATTTATTTTAATTAATAATTTAAATAATTTTATTATTGTATAAAAAAACAATTATGAATTTTATTTTTTCAATTAATTCTGCTAATTAAAATTTTTTGACAATAAAATATTTATAATTTTTTAAACTATAGGAGACAATTCTTATTTTAAGCAAACTTTAGGGATATATTTATAATTTATCCTTTTTTATTGAAAGATAAATAAAAATATTATATTTTTTATCCCTATAGTTTGATTTTACTTTACTCTTTATAATTTCAGTTGAAGTAGTTTTTTTTTTTTTTTTTTTTTTTTAAAGCATTACTCAGTTTAAATAGTTTAGTCTATATACTTTAAAACTAGTTCAAATTTGATCAATTCATCTAAATTGAAAGTTTAAATTTAATAATTTTAAAACACTTATCAAATTTCTAGCCTTTTAATAAGTCAAAATGATATTATTAAAAAAAGGAAATAAGACATCGAAGCAACGCAACTTTGGTATAATCGACGGGAACTCGTCTCTTGAACACATGGACAGAATTCCCAATGGAGCAACGTTTGACTCCGACGTCAACAGTCTTCGTATACATGAAAAATCAGGAGATGTGTTACGAAGGAGTTATTTAGTGAAAAAATTTATGATTTTTAAATATTACTATTTATTATTTCTTTAAAGTATTTTTTTTTTTTTTCCTAATAATCATTAATGTGTAATTCTCCCTTTCTTATAAAACTCAACGTAAAATTGGTAAACCTCATTATTTCAATCAATAAATAATAAATTAGAATATCGTATAAATTTGTTCTTAAACATTTTAAAAAATTATCAAATATTTACATATAAATATTATATAAAATATTTGATAATTTATTTAATATCCCAAACGTGCTCTGCAATATTTCTGCGTGAGGGGTGTATTTGGAGAAGGTAGTTTTCTCAGATGAATGACTTACTTACCAGTACCAGTAATATCATCAAAATAAAAAATAAAAAAATAATGCCAAGGCAAAAGAATAAGATATTAATCCCCACTTGCTCCCAAAACCACGTGTTATACATATAACCTATCCACACACACAGACACACAACACATCCTCTCCTCTCCTCACCACAAACCAGCTGTTCTCTCTCTCTATTCCGAAGTTACGGCACGTCACGTGACCTAATAATGTTATAATGGGTGACAGGAATGAAATTTATGAATTTATATTGGATGATTGAAAAATATAAGAAGACTGGTGCCGCAATAATTTTTCCACTCTCTCCCTCTTTCTTCCTTCCAGCTCACTGCAGCTGTCCAGCTTGGCTACTCGTCAATTGCCACGCTCACGTATGCGCTTATTTTATCTATATAAAGTCACTCCACTTCCCATATTAAATAAACTCCACTTTGCTGCTTCAAATATATCTGATCCACACATTTTGTGCCCCAAAAGCAAATTTAACTGCTTCTCATCACTCCACTCCAACTCTCATCCAAACACTTGAAACTATCATACTACAACTACTAGTACATAACCACTGATATTATTGTAGTATATGGATTTCAACAAAGAAACGAATGTGATTTCTTACTATTCTGACCCACTTCCTAGTGAGTCAGTTTTCTCGTCCAAAGCCGTCGGGGAATGTTCATCGGCGTCAGATATCGGCAGCAGTGGTGCTCGGCCAGCTTCTGTATCTGACGGCAGCAGTGGTGCTCGGCCAGCTTCTATCTGTTCTGACGACGAGGTTTTGTTGGCTTCAAGACATCCGAAGAAGAAAGGAGGGAGGAAGAAAGTGAGGGAGACTCGGCACCCAGTGTACCGAGGTGTGAGGTGGAGGAACTCCCACACGTGGGTCTGCGAAGTGCGCGAGCCCAATAAGAAGACGAGGATATGGCTTGGTACATTTCCAACGGCGGAAATGGCTGCGAGAGCTCACGACGTTGCGGCCATTGCTTTGAGAGGTCGGACGGCATGTGTGAATTTCGCTGACTCGGTTTGGAGGCTGCCCATTCCGGCTTCATTGGATCCCAAGGATATTCAGAAAGCAGCAGCGGAGGGTGCAGAAGCGTTTCGGCCAGCGTTGGAGGAGGACAACGATGTCTCGGGTGACGTGGCAAAGCCAGATGAGGAGGAGGAGGCGTCGGCGAATGCAACGACAATGCCGGAGAAAATGTTTTACATGGACGAGGAGGCGGTTTTCGGGATGCCGGGACTGCTTGCAAGCATGGCAGAAGGGTTGATGCTACCTCCTCCACCACACTCTGGGGGTGGAGATGGTGATGACGTGGAAGTTGATGCTGACGTGTCACTCTGGAGCTACTCAATTTAATATCTAACTTTGTTTTGGTTTTTCACCGGTCAGAGTGTGAGATATTTTTTTCAAACTAGATATTTCTTAAAACAGTACTATTAATTTTCTGCAAGTAGGGAAATTATAAGTATATGAAAAAAAATATAAAGAAATGGGGAAAAGACAAAAACAGAGAGATTCTTCATAAGGCTACTTTTAATTTTTTGTTGCAAGTACGGAAATGGCAAGTATATTGGGAAACAAATCGAAAAAGACAAAAAAAAGATGTGTGCTCTGATATAGTAAGTATAATATCATCCACAGAGATCTATGAGCGCAGTGTGTAGTGTGTAAAAGTAGTAAATAAATAAAATAGATATTTGTTATCATAAAGTGGAAGTGGTGGTTAAACAAACTTTTCGTCAGCACGAATGCCCAATTGGTCAATGCTCCAGTTAGGTAGTTGTCTTTGTCAAGTGAAGCTTGTTATATACATGCATATATATATATATATAGATACAGATATATATAAATTAAAAACTTTCTTCTTTTTTTTTTCTTTAATCACTGTAAGCTATAAGGATTTTAATTTCTCATTCAACTCCCAAATGATTATGTGTCTCAACATACTCAAATCGTCAAATAATATAATAAAAATATCCACACATAATTATATGATTAGAATAAAAGAGTTTGCATGCACTTATCACAATAGCTCCACGTAAAAATCTCAAAATACAAAACTAAGACCACATTGGGTCAAGAACTCAGACACAAATTTAAACTCAAATGGTCTTGTAACCTTTGCAATAGAGCCAGCATTAAAGTCCCACTCGAAATTGATCAAATTCCTTCCAAGTACAACACTAGATGTTTTTGGAATAAGACACCTATAACAGTTAACTACATTCTAGAAAGATACAAATTGCATTTATCATTTTAACATTGTGAAATGTCCGAGCAAAACTTACCTGTCCACAAGTACGTCCATCAAGAGCATTTTTGTATTTTGTACAGTAATACTGTGTTTGGTTGAAGAATTTGAGAAGAGATTTGAAAAGAAAAATAAAAAAGATAGATAAAATGTGAATAAAATATACCTATATTTCACTTAGTTTCATATCTTTTTTCTTTCTCTTTCCAAATCTTCCAACCAAACAAAGCATAGGAGAATCGGTATCGACTATAATTCATATTTATGGGTGGAAGTTTGAAGCATTACAAAAACATTATTCTAATAAATTTCATAACAGTGGTCTCCACACTGCAATGTTACTTACTTAGCCCATGAATTATAATATGAAAGCGTGAGGTTCAATTTTCATTTTCTGATGCTTCAGTGGTCTCCGCATTGCAATGTTACTTAGCCCATGAAATGTAATATAGAAGTGTGAGGTTCAATTATCATTTTCTGATGCTTCTCTGCTGCAACCTCTCGTTCAAGAATCTGGCTAGCTTGTTCAAAAGACAAGTTTTTGCATGAATGTGGAAAGCTTTGCAACATTCTCTTCACGAATATGAGGTGCAACCTTCTCTCAGTAGCCAGAAGCATCCATCATCTTTGTTAGGCTGTCCCTTCGTCTGTAAAAATACAAACTCAATTATACCATCACATGAATAGAGATAGAGAAGACAAGCCTATGAAAGTAACATCTATGCTTCAAAATTGTAGTATTTCAACATATGGTATAATCAATCAGTAAATCCCTTCAAAGTTCAAAATTTGCCCCAACATTGACCAAATATGAGCTTGAGCCCCTCTAAAGCTCAATACATTCACATTCACGTTTTGGCAGACTGGAGTGAAAGGTGCAGGATGAATAATCATGTATTTGAAGAAAACAAAAGGTCAAGGTTAATCCAATCCAAAATTACATATGTAAAATAAGTTATGATGTATGTATATATACATACCTGTTTTTGCATGTAAATATATATATATATGTATTATATTTTTTAAGCAAAATAAAAAATATCTTACATCTTTAGATCAAAATAATTTTCAAGTAAAATGAATAGGGAATATATATATATATATATATATTTCACAATTCAAAAGAGAGTTTTTAACCTTTTCAAGAAAGAGCTCTCTAGGAGCAACAAATCAAATAAGAAAAAAAAAAAAAAAAAGACCCAGAGAAAGTCATATAACAAATATAAATATAAATAAATGAATAAATAAAAAGAGAAGAAAATCAGAGAAAGAAATTTCCAAGTGTTGCATCCAATGTGGAAAAAGCAAGGGACAGGTTCCTCTCTAGTCTGCAATCAGAATACATAGCCAACAAAGTTTCTAAACCTGTTCCATGGGTGGATATAAATTTTTTGTTCCAACCATAACCACCCCAACAAACACACATATCCAACCCATTCTAACCCGCATATTATGCAGGTTAATTTGAGCAAGCCAATTACAACCCAATAAAAAAATTTGACTTGTTTGGGTGGGTTCAACAAAATTATTAATGCGCGGTTCAAGGGTACGGGTTAGCATTGCCACCTCTACTTAAGACTTGCATGGATTTTGCAAATAATGCAAGTTGGTTGGCATCCATTTCTCAAAAGTGCCTCCACTATAAGAAAAACCACTTGTGTCGGCGTTTATATACCGACATTTTTTAAAGCGCCACACATAAAGCGTCATGTTTTTTGACAAGAATTGTATAGATGGACCTTCAGCAACATTTAGCAAAGCAACCACATGTTAAGTTGATGTCAGTGCCCCATCACATTGACTAGAGCGAACACGTGGAGTTGGTGAGAGATGTACCCATTGGCCTTGTTGACATGTGGTTTAAGGCATTATAAAGTTTAAAAAAAAAAAAAAAAAAAGTCATATACTTAATAACGCCCTCCCCAAATCTCTAACAGAATTCTCTTTCAACCCAGCACCTAGGGTTTTGCAGAGTGATTGAAAATGGCAAACGATCTCTTATCACCACCAGACAAACTTTCCTTCAAGTCCTCTCTCTCTCTCTCTCTCCATCAATCGTCACAATCACCACCGACTTCTACCGCTTCTCTCCTGAGCGAATACTACACAATGCTGCATAATTCGCCAAATTTGACCACTCATTGGTCCAATTGAGGGAAAACCTTGCTTGATGGTTGTGATTTCAAGCTTGTGATGGAGACGTTGGGGGATCTATAGATGAGAAGATAATCAATAGTTACATCAAAACCCTAGCCACGATTGCCGGGAGGTTTGATTTCAATTTCTTTTTTTTCTCAGTTACTTGAATTCTAAAATTTCCTATTGATGTAGAGCGGAAAGGAAAGAGAAGAAATTTATCCATAATATGTTCTTTGATATCTAGCTCGCCATAAAAGCTTTGCTTCGTACTGGAAAGCAAGGAAAATATGGAAATGATAGTGTGCCTTGTGGTACGAAAAATGTAGATTTGATTTCTGTAACATGAAGAATGGGTGCCTATTTACAATCGGGTATTCAGCTAAGAATGCCATACATTTGTATTGATGTAGACACCTTAGCATTAAAAAAATGAAAATATTGATGGTTGAGAATTCCATCCAAACCTTTACTTATTCCTTGGATGACAAGAAGCTTCCTTATCATTTCTGTTTTTCTACAAGGTGTTTTACAAATTTTCACCACTACCGATTTTGTCTGATATTTTCCATTCCATCTTGTTTTCCAGTGTAAGCAAGGCATGAAGGAAGCTGAATTGTAATATGACTCTTATAGTAGTTACTTTTCTATGGTGATTTGCTTTAGTTTGCCATGTTGGAGATTTAAACAAGCCATTCAAAACAACCTTAAGGTGTGTTTTTATTTAATCATAGTGTAGAAGTTTTGCCTTTGCTCAAATTAGCTGAGAGATGTCTTTCCTATATTGGATTAGTTAAGAACTTTGTCAATCAATTAAACACCTTGCTATTTTAAGCATGTTCCATGCCTTGCACCACATTATACCAGTTCCTGCCACAAAAGAGGAGGTAATGCCTTTTGGAGCCATGATATTATTCTAATTGCATTGAAGTACATCATGTTCTATCAAATCAAGATGCCCGTTAAAAATTATCTTAGATAGGGTGGTTTTGACTTCAATGGGGGTGCTTGTGGGGTGCTGGAATGTTATTTCCATTAACTTAAGCTTGTGCTATCTATGTATGTAATTGCTTAAGAATATACCGTGAATCACTATATTGCAAATCTACATGAAAAATCAATATGAGGGTCTGTTTGGACCAAAAATAACCGCCCTATCAGATGATGCCACGTGACACTGGTCATGCAAATAAATAGATGTGCATGGTAGGGTAAGTAAATTTCTAGATTTGAAAAGTTTGATAAAACTACCTCTACAGAATTTTTTCAAGAAAAACCACCCAATAGCAGGCTGCCACATGGCAGTAGACTGAGTTACAGTGGGTAACATTATCAAGCCAAGAGGCCATTAGTAATTATCCCTACCTTTTAGAGGCATGAGGCTAGTGATGGTAGAATCATTTCCCAAGTCAAATGAGATCCCTAAAACATAGGGATAGTTTCCCTATAATGTATATCCTAAGAAGCACGGATATTTGTACGAAGGAACCGTGACATCTCCAACATCCATGTGACACGACTCTTTGGACACTCCAAAAAGCGTGTCCTACACTTCTTCAACGTGTCTTCACTCAAAAATCAAATTCATAACATCGGACACTTTAACGACACTTCACGGACACTTTGAAGACACTTCTTAAACCCTCCATACGTCCTATATGATGATTTGGTGGTGTTCTGGCAGTGCCTAGGTTTCATGATTGAAACTTCTTCATCTTTGAATATACATCTCTACAGGTTTGACACATTTTAAGGCAGATGAAACTTCAGAGCTTCATTTTTTCATGACTTGTCACACAAGTAAACAACCAAATCCAAGGGTTTCAGGTATTTCTTTGATGGTTGAGTCTATTTTCCCTCACTAGTGCACTACATTTTTTTCTTTTTAATCAGAAGTGAACAGTTGAAAATGCAATTGAACACCTTGCTATTTTAATGGTCCAACTTAAGAACAAGAAAAAAAGAAAGACGGACAAATTATATCTGCAATATTTGTAATTTATCCTTGATTTCAGTCCAAAGCTAATTGAAAAATAAAAAATATATAAAATGCTTTTGATATGGGTGTGTATTATGAGTGCAGAAAATGCTTGTTTGCTTCTCATCCCTAGTTACTACTCGCATAATGTTGAATTGAGAATTCTCAGTGTCATATTGGACCCTTCATGCTGTTGGCGGATCAATTGAGCTTTAAATATTACATTAAGATGATATATATTGCAATGAGGTTTAACAGTCTGCCCTGCTTGAGCATGGTGTATAGATTTAGTTATTTCCCACTTCACGTCCTCATTTATGCATTAAGTTTCTGGCAGCTAATGCTTTCACATGTTCTCACCACCACTGTTTTATTCACCTATATATATACTGCTGTATTACATCAGATAGCTATTAGGTAGATATAACAAATCCTCTCGTCTTATCACCTTATCAACACTGTTTGAAATTCAAAATTCTGTTGGTTAACAAACTCTTTAGTTATTAGGGTAAATTACACTGTCACCCCCTAAAATTTCTGTTTAATACAGATTTATCCCACGTTTGAAAAATTACATTCCTCTTCCTGAGGTTTGTAATCTCATTACAAATTGCTCTTTAGATTGCTGATGTCATGCTCTAAAATTTTTTAAGGGACCATTTTGCTCTTTTTCCTACAATTTCTTCTTCCTATCATCATGACTACATTCTACAACTTTTCATCATTAAATTCTACCTGAAAATATTCTTATTGAGTGATGATATATAAACATTAATTTTATATAAAATTTTCAAACACGATGATATAACTTAATAGTGATCTTTCACTTTAAAACAAAACACCCATAAACATGATTTATATTTACCAAAATCACTATTACAACATTTTAATGATTTTTTTTGTATAAATTTTTATATATGAATTGAATATTTCATTTTTATTCCCACCACCATCATTTTTCTTTCTTGTCTATTCACCCACATTTATTATAGTATTACCAAAAACCGTCATTCACATTTATAACAATATTACTGAATCTTTGTATTTTGGATTTTTTTTTTTTTTTTGAGTGTATTTGGTGAATTTAAAAAAATTACAAAATATTATACTTCTTAAGCATATCTAGTTTAAGTGTATATAAAAAATAAAAAAATTGTTTAAAATATTAAAAAAATTCAGTAAAAATAAAAAGACACGAAAAATACAAAAAATAATTTAATTTTTTGTGGGTTAAACTAAAGAAAATGATTATTATTTTTCTTGAAATGACATACCAAAATATCAGCATTATTTTATTATTTTATATGTATAAATAGGGTTGCAAATGAACCGAACTGTTCGTGAACAAGCTCAGCTCAGTTCGTTACTCGAGTTCGTATAAGCTCAGCTCGTTTATCTTTATTTAAATTATATAACAAATATATTATTTATATATTAAATATATATATATAATAGTATAAATACATTATTTATATATTAAATAATATAAATAATATTTTTTATTTAAATAATATTTTAAAAAAATTATTGAGC